GGAAAAAAGGATAAATCTAGTGGTTGGTTCACCTAAATATTCTCACTAGGTAGCGCTAACCGCCGCCCAATTTCGAGGGTACAGCCACATCCATCCATCCAATCATCCAACCCGATACGACCATTTAAATATAGCATGAGTGAGGTCGGTTCGGCCAGTGCCTCCTTTATAAAGATTTTTATACAGGAGGCACTGGTTCGGCATAGGGTGAGGTTGGCCATCTGATTCTAACTTAGCTGCGCTCTCCTTCAGGTGGACAGCAGTTATTTTGGCAGGTTCCCTTTTACTTCGCGATGTATACGTTGTTATGCCAGCGAGTCCTCGTCAAACGACCGTGCTTCTGAAAAAGGCAATCTGGGTCAAGGCCAGCCCGCAGTCGGCCTGGCGCGATCACCTCGACGGCGTGAACACGCGCGGCGCCCCTCTGGCTCACGTGCATTGAGTCAGCTGCGCGCGTGACAGCGAGCCGGCGGCCGCGTGTCTGGTGGTCTGACGCATGGCGCGGCGGCCCCCATTGGCGGAATCTGCCCTGACGACCAGCGGCGCTTCTGATTGGACATTTTGGTTGGACCCGGTGTAAATAAAAGAAGCCCTGCGGCGCGTCGCGATCGGAGGTCCTACGAGAGAGGAGTCCCCGTGTCGGAGTGCCGACATGTGTGTGAGTCAGCGGTCTTAGGCGAAAGGCTGACCTATGTGTTAGAGAGGAGAGCTCGGCTCTTCGAGTCTCTGTCGGCCCCAGTGCCGAAATTGTAACGCCTCTGTATATATGCTGTACATAAACCTTGTTTAACTCACCGTCGTCTCGTCCGCTCGTCTTATCGGCTCTGCGCAGAAGCAGTCGCGAGCTGATAAACATACGCTACGCAACAGTGGTTGGCAGCTGCGGGATCGGCCGGCGTCAGCGACATCGATGCGGTGAGTGCCTGATGTTTTCCCCTCAGTTCACCAGACTACTCTAGCTCAGGTTGTAGTAGTTTAGAGAAGGGCTGTGTGAAGCATTAGAGTGAGCTTTGATCGTTTCAAGCAAAGTCGAAGTGCTTTGAAACCAAAGTTAATGCGGAGGGGGTAAACACGGGAGAGTGAAAAGTTGCTTGCGCGTCTTGCTAGTTGACTTATAGTGGGTACGGCAAGTAAATTGTTAACAGGGGCAAACAGCAAGAGGCTAGTGTGAACGATGGAGAACCTTAAAGTGAAGGAACTCATCGAAATTTGTGAGGAACTCGGCATTACTTTGGGCCGTGCGAAACGAAAGCAAGCGATCCTTGAGATCATGAAGGATGAGGGAGTGTCGGCTGAGGAAGTCGATGAGGCCTGGGTGGATATTAAAGCACGCCGCGAAGAGGCTGAAAGGCGCGAAGCTCGCGAACGTGAAGAGGCTGAAAGGCGCGAAGCTCGCGAACGTGAAGAAAGGCGCGAAGCTCGCGAACGTGAAGAAGTTGAAAGGCGCGAACGTCGCGAGCGCGAGGAGGCTAAGAGACAAGAGCGCCTAGAGTTGAAACGACTAGAATTGGCAATCCTACAGTGTTCGCAGGCGCCTAGCGTAGCTTCTCCGACGATTCAGGTCAGCGGTTTTAGAATTCGTGACCAACTGCCACCGTTCGTAGTAGGCGAGGACATGGCGAAGTATCTCGTCAAGTTTGAACACGTCTGTGAGCGAAACGCTTTGGAGCGGTCTCTTTGGGCGCAGAACCTGTTAGCTCCTCTTCCCGGCGAAGTGTCCGACGCATTAACTTGCTTGTCTAGGGAAGCGTTTGAGAGCTATGACGAGGTTAAGGAAGTGCTCTTGAGACGTTATAAGTTGTCACCCGAGGCTTTCAGGCAAAGGTTCCGGTATGCTGAAAAGGGGAATGAGTCACACGTTGACTTCGCGTTTCGTCTTAAAGCCGATTTAATTGAATGGCTCAAGGGCGAAGGTGCTTATGACGACCGCGATAAAGTGGTGGAATGCGTTGCATTGGAGCAATTCTACCGCTGCATCGAGGATAATGTCAGGCTTTGGCTGCAGGACAGACTTGGGGACGTACAGTTAAACAAGGCAGCTGAGTTAGCTGAGGAGTATTATACTCGCCGAAAGTTGCATAGCAGGGCAGTGCGCGTTGAAAAGGGTGAAAGAAAAGAGGGCTTTTCAAAGAAACCTGATCAACGGAAACCCGTTCCGCACCGTAATTTCAAGAAGGACCCGTCTCTTACGAAGGACAGTGTAGGGGAAGGGCAAACAGAAGCGGAGAAATCGAGTGAGGTTTCTACCACACAAGCATTTGAATCGGAAAACAAACGGAAGCCGCTAATCTGCTACAACTGCAAAAAGGAAGGGCACATCGCGAGAAACTGTCAGGAAAAGTTTGCTTTCGCAACGATCCGAGAATCAGAAAAAAACATTCGGTTGTTGGAGCCGTATCTCCAAGAAATTAGGGTGAATGAGAAAACGTGCCGAGCACTTAGAGACTCAGCGGCAACCATGGACGTTGTCCATCCTTCATTGGTGTCTCCGGATGACTTCACAGGAGAATGCGCGTGGATCAGGCAGGTCGCCGAGGAGCAGAGTGTTCGCTTACCAATCGCCACGGTTGTCATTGAAGGCCCGTTCGGTAAGCTTCGCACCGAAGCGGCTGTGTCTGCCGCGCTGAACGACCGTTTTCCTTATCTATTCTCCAACAACTCAGAGCAGCTTCTCAAAGAGCAGGGCAAATCGTTCTTCCCCAACTAAGCGTGCATGGCTCTCACGCGATCGCAAGCGCGAAAGCTTTCGCCAGAGCTTGATCTGGTTCAATGCGGTGAACGCTCAAGTGACCTTGTCGGCGGGTCGACGGAACCTCAGAGAGGAAATTTTCCGCGTGAGTCATGTGAGCAGTCACGCGAGCGGCCCGTCGCGGAAGCGGCCGGCGCGGTATGCGTTGGGGGAGACGACATGGCGCCATTGAATCAGAGCGAGAGGGCTGCAACGCTCTCGCCTGTAGCGGAAAGTTGGAGCGAGCTGCCGAGAGTTGATCGAGAGACGCTCAGTCGAGAGCAGCGTGAGGATCTCTCGATTGAAGCGCTAGTGGAAAGCCAAATTGAAGCGCTAGTGGAAAGCCAAATTGAAGCGCTAGTGGAAAGCCAAATTGAAGCGCTAGTGGAAAGCCAAATTGAAGCGCTAGTGGAAAACCAGAAAAACGCGGCAAAAGTGCTGTCGAAGGAGCACTACGAGGAATCGGTGAAGAAGCGTGTTTTTGAAGTTGATAATCAGGTAATGCTGCTGCAGCCATCCAAAAGGAACAAGCTTGAGGTTGATTGGGAAGGGCCCGCCAAAGTATTATCGAAGCCTTGCGATACAACTTATGAGGTGCAAGTAGGAAGGCGGCAGAACAAAATTTACAACTTGATGAAACCCAATGTTCAACATCAAGCGGTTGTAAATCAGCTGTTGAAGGCTTCAGAGGAAGAGGAAGCAGAAAATTTGAGTTCTAGTGAGGTGATCGAAGGGGGATCGAAAGTAATCCGGGAGCAGATAAACCTAGAGCCTAGCTTAAGTGAAGGAGGACCTGAGAAAGAGGACCTGAGAAAGATTGTTTCCGAGTTTGGGTATGTGTTGTCGGACCGTCCCGGAGACACGACGGTGATCGAACACGATATCGAGCTAAGCGGTGAGGAGTCAATCAGTAGCAAGCCGTATCGTTGTTCCCCTGTGCAACGTCGAAAGTGTGAGCCGCTCTTGGTGCCGCATAGGTATCGTCGCCTAAAAGTGGCCGGTTACTGAGGTGGAGCACGTTGCTCCACAGCGCAACTTTGACGTTCGCTAAAAAAAAAAGGAAAGCTAAACGCTAATGGAGGTGCATTGAGCAGTGCGTTCTAGCTAGTACCTTCTCAACCTTTCGGTTTCTGGCTGGCGATTCGGGGCAAAATTTTGACCTCATCACGACCTGGGCTGAGCGCTCTCGTTCAGAGTGATCTCAAGGGGTCAACTTTATGTGGTATTCTAATCCGTTACGTTGTTGTACGTGGAAAAAAAATTGAGTTGTCATTTTAGGGGTCTTTTGTCCCACATGTGCCTCTTGATGTAGAGGGAACAAAATTCCGATAAACACGTAGATAGGTATATGTTGTACTATACTTTGTCTGGTGTTCTGTCGGGTGACCGGGGGCACTTGCTTGTGTCGTGTGTTGTCTGTTGTCGATCCGTTCTTGGCAAGTTGCAGAACCATCGACAAGTGCTGAAACCGAAGATGGTCAGAAGAGACGAGTGAAGCTGGTCAGCAAGTTGTGGCGACGAGCCAGTGGAGCTGGGATCCGTCGTCAAAAATGGGATGTGTTCCCGGAACAGTCTGGAGCTGTAGTCTCCCCATGGCCCTGGAGGCGAACCTGGAGGGACCTGGCGAACGAGCGCACCTGACATCCGAGCCCCGTGGAAGCAGCTCGTCTTTCCGGTGCATTGTCTGGCGGCGGGGGTGCTGTTATGCCAGCGAGTCCTCGTCAAACGACCGTGCCTCTGAAAAAGGCAATCTGGGTCAAGGCCAGCCCGCAGTCGGCCTGGCGCGATCACCTCGACGGCGTGAACACGCGCGGCGCCCCTCTGGCTCACGTGCATTGAGTCAGCTGCGCGCGTGACAGCGAGCCGGCGGCCGCGTGTCTGGTGGTCTGACGCATGGCGCGGCGGCCCCCATTGGCGGAATCTGCCCTGACGACCAGCGGCGCTTCTGATTGGACATTTTGGTTGGACCCGGTGTAAATAAAAGAAGCCCTGCGGCGCGTCGCGATCGGAGGTCCTACGAGAGAGGAGTCCCCGTGTCGGAGTGCCGACATGTGTGTGAGTCAGCGGTCTTAGGCGAAAGGCTGACCTATGTGTTAGAGAGGAGAGCTCGGCTCTTCGAGTCTCTGTCGGCCCCAGTGCCGAAATTGTAACGCCTCTGTATATATGCTGTACATAAACCTTGTTTAACTCACCGTCGTCTCGTCCGCTCGTCTTATCGGCTCTGCGCAGAAGCAGTCGCGAGCTGATAAACATACGCTACGCAACAACGTCAGCGTAGCTCTGCTCCATCATTTTCGTTGTTGGCGTGCTCCGAAAAAGAGAGCTTCCAGAGGTGATGGGTTCACGATCTAGCAGAAACCGGCGCGAAGTGCGAGCTTCACGAAACAGGTGTTCTGTGACGAAACTTTGCGAGTGGATCGGCGGGACTCTTCAACACACGAGCACGACTGACTACCGCCTGATGATCTGCCAGCTTCTCTCGCAGCCCCTCGAAAGATTTTCTTGGTTGGAAAAAGTGCCTGATGGGAGTGATCTTGAAAGAAGCCATCGTAGTGCGACGCAATTTGGTGGTGTTCACAGGCGCTACTTGCAGTCAGTGTGGCTTCTGTGATGCTCTCGATGTGCACTGCGGCCACAGAAACAGCAATAACGGCAACTTCGAGAAAAAGCAGCTGTTAATAGAGGCTCATTGAATTGTTCCAATTGTGTTTTTCTCATGTCCTGAACAACACGTCAATTAGCGTTTTGGCAGCTCAATTGACAGGTAGAACAAGCTCTTCAATACGTTTGTATGGGTTCGTTTCTCAGCAAGAATATTTTCATCCCGAGAAGTATCACCTAACGAAATATTTTATACTCTAAGTGCATTCACCCTTTCACATACTAGCAACGGCCCCTGATCATTAAAAAGCTTCTCAAAAACGACTCTGATAATGTCATGCCTCACAAATGTAGTGATTGGAGGAAAAAAAATATACGAACGAAAGGAAAGGTGTGGGAGTGTTGAACAGAAAAAAAAACAAACAAACAGTGGGTTCTGCTGGTCTGTGGTCGCGGCTGCTTGATTTTATCTGATCACGTATGCTCTGTGGCATTCTTGCCATGTGTCGGTTCTTTGTCCTTGCTGTGCAAGGAAAAATGACCGAAAGAGAGGATCACTATTTATGAATGTAGCAGGGGTGGCTTGTTGGCCTTGTGTGTGTAGCATGTTCATAAAGGTAAGCACTGCACTAGATAGACGAGGATAGGACAGAGAGAACACGCACAGGTGCTATTTCAACAAACTATGAATAGTTTTGGAGACAACAGCAACAAAGCTGAACATGAAATGTGTTCTCGTGCACAACATCAAGTATGGGCTGATCGAAATTCACATTCTTCAAGTTGCATCGTTTGTTTTTTTTATTGCATGTGTAACTTTTGATGTGTAACGGGTCGTGTTCACGTATTGATAAAACTGCACTAGAACGGGAAATATTGTCACAAATATACTGCATCTTTTACTCAATTGGCTCCCAGCTCGCAGAGTTTCCCACTTAAATGATTCCCACTCGCACGTCACAAACCATGCTCACGAGCATGAATCGAAATGGCTCAATGCATCCAGAGTGTTACCACAGATTGCCCAAAGTAACCATGACAGGCCTAACCACTACTACTACATCAGTCTTTCTGCTCAAAAACTACCAAAGCACAGATCACTGTGTCACTTTGGTACTAGGTATATAATGGGATGATATTGCAGTCTCGGCAGAGAACAGTAGTGCTTTGCGGTAGGTGTCGAGACACTGGAAGTTGTAAAGGAATATGTCTACTTAAGACAGATTATCGCGGAGCTGAACCACGAGAGTGAAATAGCTAAAATAAGGATGGGTTGGAGCACATTTGGCTAGCATTCTCAAATCATGAATGATAGTCTACCACTAGTCCCTCAAGAGGAAGGTATAAAACAGCTGCATCTTACTGGTACTTGCCTATGGAGCAGAATCTTGGAGGCTTACAAAAAGTATTCTACTGAAATTGAGGACGAATCAGCGAGTGACTAGAAAGAAAAATGATAGGTGTAACCTTAAGAGACTGAAAGAGAGCAGAGTGGGCCAGGGAACCAACAGGGGTTCAAAAAATTATAGTTGAAATCAAGAAAAAATGGACGTGGGCCACGCACGTAGCACGTAAACAGGACATCTTCTGGTCATTAATAGGTAACCGACTGGATTCCAAAAGAAGGTCAACCCCTGGGGAGAAGGCAGATTAGGTGGGCAGATGAGGTTAGGAAGTTTGTTGGTGTATGGTGGCAGCAGAAAGCTTAGGACATGGTTGTTCCAGAGAAGATCGTAGGGGCCTTTGCCCAGCAGCGGGCGTAGTCAGGTAGATGATGATATCATGAAAAAGTACTGAGGCTGTGGCGAAAGTTGATATGTTCAGTCAAAAACCAAATCGACTTTACTTACAAGTGTTCACCGTTGCTGTCATGACTTGTGAGAATCACCACCCGATTCAGACAGGCACCATCTTCTGAGGCAGTGAGGAGGAAGAAAGGAGCAGTTCATTTTGCCGGCAGGGTACAGTGAAGTAATTTCACATGAGGTTATTTGTGTAATTAAATATCGTGCTTAGCACTTCAAGATTGCTCTACTAGGTGATGAGGAATGCTGTAAAAGAGAGCTTTACTCCTAATCTTCATGAGGATCTGTTAACCCCAACTGAATGCACAGCAATGAATGTACCTTTTTTTTTCTTTATCTCCAGTAAGAATTTTATGCCATGAATGAGAAACTAATCCGTGGCATCGTGCAGAGCAGTCTGAAACTATGTTGCTGTCAATGCTGTAAAGCGTTCAATGTCGCAGTGCTGACGTTGCAATGGAACTTGTGTACGTGCGCATTCATGCAATGCAAATATTTTTCCAAACACCAGTCATCGTGAAAATGTTCTTTCATAGGATGCAAGATTTTTTTTATGGCCCTCATCTATGATGAGCAAACCACCACATGTTGACTTGATGGAATCGTGTATTTATAGATAGTGACTCTTTCTTTCAAAACCTGCAACTTCAGAAAATAGCAGTAGGCAGGAACTTGAGAAATGTAGACACATGCAGTTCTGCTATGTAGAAAAATGCCACCACAGAACGTTTTTTGCCGTCCGGTGCCCACTCTGAGGGTAGGGCTTGTGTGTGGGGCTCTTGTAATGACATCACACTGTTTGTGAACAAGGAGAGATCACTTGTTGACAATGTGCATTGTGACTTTCAGTCACTTTTTCTTTCCTCAAAAAGCTGGCAAAATAGCCTTCACCTTCTTGCAGTGGTGCAGGGAATGCCTTTTTGAGTGGTTGCACAGCCCTCTTCGAGGCTCCAGAATTATACAGTTAAAGTAGATGCAATTCTTTGCAAGAAATATCTGACAAGAATAACTCAGTTGACACATTGTGGTATCCATGAACTGCTTCAGATGACCATCATCTTTTGACTTGGGGAACAGCAATACCAATTTTTTTCAGGACCTGTTCCTGTTATTGGAACAAAGGAATTAAAACGGACACTATGGGCCAATGAGCCCAGCAAGTTGCTGCAATATTTTATGCAGAGAAACTTAACCCTTTCGCTTTCCTGTGTATGAGCTAGTTGTGATCGTAGAGCTTGCTCAAGCTGCAACAGCAATTAAAACCTGCATTTGTATACCTCATGATATTTTATGCAATTCTGTTCACTGTCTCTAATACGTTGCTGCTCTCTTCCTCCCCATAGGTGCAAGAAACGAAATGTCAAAGGGACCTTCAAGTCAACTTTAAATGGATGACAACACATCACCAAATTCTGCTGTTTACATTTTGTTCAATATGTGGTGTTCCATTTGGTTGATTGCTGTATTCTTAGAATTGTGTTGCATGTTTGCAACATATTCTTTCAGTAATTTGCTTTATGCATAGTATTGTTTCAATCGTTTTTTATATGATTCTATGTTTTATCTGTGTTGAAATACATCTTAATAAGGCAGCGGAAAGTCCTGCTCAGATGGCCAAAGTGCGACGACTGATTGCCTTTGCAACAAAGAAATGGTCTAGTCGGTGTGTCAGACAGTGCACTCACTTGCCTTCTGGTTCATGACATCAGTATGAAATGTGCAACCATTGATGCCAACTGGTGTTCATCCACCCTTAAGGAGGAAATGTTGCTGCTTTTTCAAGTTTCATCTGACTAAGCATTTACTAATGGAAGCCTTTTATTTTAGGTGCTCCGAAACAGCTAATTGCATCGCGCTTTTCTATCGAAGTGTGGTTGCATTTCTATGGAGACGAAATGCTCAAGATCCCGTGCACTTTGCAATGTCAGTGCACGTTACAGTACAGCATATGGTTGGAATTTTGGGAGTCCCTCAATTGCAGCATGATCATGCTGTGCTTTTGGCGTGTAGTACACTCGAAGTTATTACTATACATAATTCTGATAGTAGAATGTGGGCCAAGGATCCGGAATGATTCAAACAGCAGTCAGGTGATTTCGTGCACACAACACAGACTTCAGTACACAGGCGATAACTCGGACGATTGGAATACAACACACTATACAAATCCCTATTTACAATTCTACATGGCTGCCGGACGTCTCGTTGAAGGACGCAGCTCGAAGCAGGAAGCCAAGCTCACCAGGTCCCCATGGCTGCCAGATGCCTGGTTGAGCGATGTTGCGACCCGAACCGCCCACCAGAAGCTGCTGTTCCAAGCGTGCCACGCTCCAACTGCTCGAACTGCGCACCCCGCTCGCTCTTCCTTTTCATTGTCTTCTCTTCCACAGAGCGAAATTTCCGTTCCCTTTCCGCCCTGTCACAGGCCACACAATCGACATCGTCACACCACACAGTCCACATCATCACAATAATAATATGTCATAACTATTAAGCTGCTTTAGCAGGGGAGTGGGTGGCAAGAAATGGTGAAATGTATTTTGCACGTAACAATGAGAGTGTATTTCACGAACTTGGACATTCAGCACTCTCGTGCAGATCAAGCGAATCCAGAATGTTGACCCTCAGTACTTTATATTTCTTGCCTACAAAGCTTTTGTATTGAATGAGTGTGAGTCTGCATTGTTCAGGTTTCATTTGTTGAGAATATTTTTCAGTGAGTGCTTTTTGATAGTAAGATTTAAAAACACTCCTGTAGTTAAATTTAGGTACACAATTAGGAAGCTTAGATAGTTTTAAATGATTCAAGATTTTTCCACTGTAGCACAATGCATTACCATAGAGTCTGATTGATGTGTAATACATGAGAACCTGAATTCTCCATGTTTTAAAATGAAAAGCTGTACCTCATTTAGCTGTTTTGTTTTTCTTGTGCAGCATTGTGGTCTTCCAGCAATCCAGCAGCCACAGATGGTGAGAAGCCACGTTGGGAAGGCCTCTACCACTGTAACGTCTGTGACTACGTAACAGTGCGGTCGCGTTACCTGAAGGTCCACCTGAGGGTTCATCTGCGCACCCACACTGGCGAGCGTCCATATCAGTGTGACCTTTGCCCCCAGAGCTTCTCGCTGAGGGACTCATTGCTGAACCACCGGCGTGTTCATACGGGTGAGCGTCCGTACAAGTGCAACTTGTGCCCTGCCAGCTTCAAACAAAACAGGTCACTGCAATGCCACCTGCTTAGCCACTCAAACTAGTGATCTTATAAATGTCCTTCATGCCTTCAATCATTTTAGTCCAAAGAGAGCCTAGAAAAGCACATGCATCAGCATAATTGTCAATGACGATTTCAATGCACATTTTACTGTCTGAAGTGTGGGGATTCTTATTTTGTCATATTTTTTTTGTTCAAGGGTACAATTGACCGATTCTTTGAAAGCACTGTGATAGTGCTACGTTATTCAGGTTAACAGTAAAGCTATGAGTCTAGTATTCGTGGCATTGCTTTATCATTGTCCCTGGAGCAGTTGTATGCATACAGTAAAGTGTTACAACATGCTTCGATTACTGTCGTGGTGCTTATTTACAGTGTTCTTCATTGACAGGTTTATCATTTAGTGTGTAATTAACTGTATGAAAACTTGTGTTTAGCACCATTACTATGAAATCGGCCAGGCCAACAGTTGCGTATATTTAATAATGAATGTCTGACTGATGTGTAATAATCGCGGTCTAATGATGATCTCGGCGAGTGTTTGAAGTGATCCAGTGATGTTTTCTGTACCTTTTTTTGTATAACATCAGAGTGGCAAACGTTAGTTAATTGGAAATGATTGAGTTAGTAAAAATGTCTGCTAATGATGTGTCTTCGTTATGAGTGAGTGGCACTCCCTGCCTTTGTGAATACTGATGTTATCCATACTAGTACAATACAGAGTGGTAATGAAACTGTACATATTATGTATGTACCACATTAATGTATTGCCATCACTACAAGTACTTCTCCTTTTACAGCGAAAGCTGCTATGAGTTCACAGCAAGGGTGCGTGCGCCGTAGATGTCCGCCGCTGCCGGCTGTGTTCGTAACCACTACTGCGCTGAATTAAGAAAATAAAAATTAAGTAAATGAAAAACATCAAGGACACAATTGTATTTGAATCTGGGTGTCCTGCGTGCCAGCACAGTATTCAATCGCAGAGCCACCGGTGCTTGCAACTCTTGCAAGCTGGCCTTAGTCAGACTTTATGTCAAGAAATGAATCTCGTTAACATGTGTAATAAAGCAGTTTTAGAACAGAAAAGCAACAACCAAGCAGCACACAATGCGAGTCGCATAACGAGTGGCTCATCGAAGGTTCCAACCAATTGCAAAAGCTTCAGGCATAATTCTTTGTCTTCATCAGCCACAGCATAAAAAAACTGCACAAAATTCTTTGCAAGTATGCAGCGGGTACCACGCTTCTCTGAAGAATGACGAAGGATGGCATAGTGAATGCCTCCATACTACACAAGAATTATGAGGATTTATGGCATAGCGGGTACTCTACAAGTGTGCTTATAGCATTGCCCAAAAAGAGTTTTAACAAAGGCTCTGAAAGGCTACTCTTCTAGCTTTCGCTGTTCCTATGCTACGTGTCCCATGAAGACGTGGCAGTTTTTTGGCAAAGCTGTCACTTTTATGGCATTTGTTCGACTTCCATATGACTTCACAGAACGTTCTAGCAAAACTTGAGTTGTGCTGCCTTGAACGTGTGCTGTATTCACTACCTCTACAACTTGACCCATTGTGTGGACATCATGCAAAGCAAGCTCAAAAATGCATTGAAAATAAATAATGTTAATGGGGTGAACATTTACAGGTATTCAGTTTATGCATTGAGTAAATTTAGGCCCCTTTGTCCTCTATTTGCATCATTCTCAGCAATTGCCTTCTCAGCAATTGATGTATTGATAGTATTTGTGTTTTCATCAGTGGTATATGTATGACACTCTTTGAGTATTAAAAAGTGAAGGCACAACTTCATGTGTAAAGGTATCTTTTTGATGCTATATTTAGCTCTAAAGGAGTGCTTTTAGCATTCATGGTTTTTAAGTTATTAGCTAACAATAATTAGCAATGAAAATAAATCTGTATGTTACTTAGCTCTATATTCTGAAAAGAAAAAAAACAACAACCTGGAGAGTCAAGCTTAGAAAACCTTGTTTGGAATGGATCTTGGCCTCTAAATAACCTCTGTTTTAGAAGTGGGCAAATATTCCAAAATTTCAAGTAGCGAACCAAGTAGCATTTTGTTTAATTTTGTACTTGAATTGGCACATATTCAAAAGACAGAATCTTTTTCTAATAGTTTTTAATAACCAGCAACAATAAAAATTCTCCAAATAAATTAGACAAGGCAATAACAAAGGGTAACTTTACCTGCCTTGATCATTGAATTACCCAGATGTATGCAGCCTTATGTGACTATGTTGACACTATGTTAATCACAGGATGAAGGTATTTTTGCTTAACACTCCAGTGTCACTACAGCAACAGTGTCAGGGCTCAAGTATTTTCACTATAAAACCCATGACCATAACTCGTGAAAATGTCCTAATATTTTGGTATCAATTTTATTTGACCGCTGTTGACCAAATACCACCTTGAATACTATAGTCATTGCTGTATATCAGCCTGCAGGAGGAGGAATGAAGTTTCTTCATAGAAAGCAACAAGTTTAAATGGCTGAGCCTACGCCTGCAGTTACAAAATATTTCCGGGACTGTTGTTTCTGCTCAATTTAAAGAATTGAATTTTCGTCATTTAGAAGTGGTTGTAATTTTCTGCTCGTTAAAGCTGGTCAATATTTGTTTCAAATAATTTGTGGTGGATTTCTTGGGCCATCTATAAAGTAGTAGTCTAGGAGCTGCTCTGAAAATTGTGTTACTATTTGGAAACTGTTCGAATGGCATTGAATTCAGCTCTAAAGATCACTACGCATTTGCACACTCCTACTTACAATAGAAACAACGCACCTGTCCATTGGTACATCACACTGTAGCATCTTTGTTGCGACATGACGCTGCGTGACGTCATCTGGGCACATACAACTGTGGTTTGTTGCAAAATACCCTGCTACTGAGTTAGCATTGTACAGCCGCGCATTCTTTTTTCTTTCTCTTAGGTATTTCAGTAGACATTGTGAGATTAATTGTGGTGTGTATCAGAGAACAGGTAGGTGTGAATAACTGCATGATGGAAAAGGTGTCGACCTGCCTGACTGTACAACTTGGACTGTTTCTTTCTCAGGCCACAATGTGGCCTGAGTGAGAAACAGAGGTATTGTTTTTGGAAATGTGCTGCGTTTATTGTGACGTGTAGTATGCATTGAAAGGGAGCGACAATAGTGGATCACTGTTATGGATGACAAAACTGAAAATATTGTGTGTGTTGTGTGCTGTGTGAATAACGATACGTCTTTTTCGCAAAGAATATTTGCATGCATTGTGTCTAACAGGGCAGTTTGCAGTGTGACCTGTTGATGAAGGAACCTCAGAATTCGTGAATGTTGTAAACGTAAAAAGAATTTGACATGATGATTCACGAGTGTGTACGTCTGTGTTTACATGGTGCGCGGCAA